TAGTACAATCAAATTCAAGCCTATACTTGGTGACTGGATCGATTTCCACAATGAAATGGATGTCATGGCAGATACATTGCTCGAATAAGTGCGTACAAAACAATATGATACTGATTGATTGAAAAAATCGTTGAAATTCATTTTTTAAACTACATCCAATAAATCATTTATATTTACAAATTTATAGTTGTTGATTACGTATTATGATTATATGTCAGGGTTGATTTGTATTGTGGTTTGATGCATCCATTACATTAGATTAGATTACATTATATTGAATTACATTACATCACTTGAGCACAATTTGTTGTATATACATTGTAGTTGGATCCAGTCACTTGACATCACAGCATTGTTCACATACAACCTGGCTGTGATGGTGATTGTCGACCTGATCATCGTGTCAATGTATTTGGATTGATATGTCGGTATATATGTCGAGTATGCACATCCGAGTGATCAAGCCATACATGTATATGCATACAATGTATACAATACACACCAGTTGCGTTGATCAGCATGTGTCAACTGGCCAATATTGCCAACATGGTTATACACTCATTTGACATGTACATCTGGACAGTGATCATCATACAATCCATACTGTTGCACAAACTGATAAACTTGTAACTACTGATTTTCAATTGGTGTCTTGTCAAAACCATGTTGCATTGTAGTGATCTGTTGTAAAAGCATGATCCAATTAAACTAGTATAAAATCATCAGCGTTGTATTCCATTAATGAATACCCAGTCATACCCAGTTATATCCATCTACTGCTCACTTTTTATGATTTGTATCATTCATATCATTATTTTTGCTGATTTCCTATAATAAATACTTTTATATTTCAACATATCTCGTATCTGAATGGTGTACAGTTGTATCGGATTGCTTGTTTCCAACTCGACATGCTCAGGTTTGCGTTATTTTATTGCAATCCATCAGTGACCCTACAAGATCGGTAGTTCATTGTTATAATGACACCCGTCCATTTGAAACTGTCAAGCGTTGTAGCACACTATTACATAGTGTTTAGTCATATCTGGTATCAATAAAACTGGTACTCTGTTGACTGGGTAATATGGCAATCACCAAATAAACAAAAAGACGGAGTGGTTGATATGGAATCAATATGGTGTCGATTGAGTAAATGAGCAAATATGCCAGGTTCATAGTGGTTGAATGAATACAGCCGTGTATTAGGGCGGCTGTATAGCAAAAAACTGTGGGGGTATGCATGAATAGATCCAGTTCAGGTGAAATTGCTTGACAAGGCTGGTTGACCGCAGAATACTGACATTTACTTGGATAATAACTCAGTTGCTTGATGAAATTGAATATGCTTGTTTAAAGCTAAACGAAAACCTTGACGCTGAATATTAGTCACCCTATTTAGTACCCTATCCAGTAGCTTTAGTCCAACTTTGATATGCCATTTGTTCAGCCCAACTTCCATATATTGGTTGCTAGTTGATCACGTTTCAGGACGACATCCCTTGAACGGCCCTGACCATTCAACCAGCACTTGGCTTTGAAGCAGTTTACTTTATGCTTTCCATCAGAATTTGAATATGAGTTGCATAATAAAATAGTGGAGATGGCCATAAACTACCGAAATGAGAAGTGAGAAACGAGAAACGGTTAAATGGAAAAACAGACTCATTAGTCAACTCCGCTTGCAAGGAATAGGGAGTCAATAAGGCTGGTAACCAGTATGCATAATCACAGTATACACACCGCATTGTGATGCCGTGGTATAGCACACTACAAGTTCCGTATTTTTAATATATACTACCAACGTCAATGTCCTATCGACTATAAAAACACATGGACTTTCCCAACAATTATACTCATAACTAGCTCCATCTACTTGATCAAATGAAATCTATCAACTTTTCAGTTCTTGCTACGGCTTTTGCCTTGTCCAGCAGTGTCTATGCCGCTCCACCTATGCAGCAGAAAAATCTCCCACCTGGTCCAGATACAACTGCTACTATTTCCAATGAAAAAAACACTGAAAGTAGAGATCTGTTTGTCTCTGAATTGGTGGAACTAGCTGGAGTGGAACTGCAGAGTACTGGAAAGCTTGTCATTGATGACAAGAGATACGATCCCACTCTCATGCAAAAATATTTTGTTTCTGGTGCCGAGATCTATCATAAAGAGGACTACTGGGGACGAGATGCACTTGTTGCAGTGTTGCTTGAACATATTCCTGAAGCACCAGGCATGAAGGGACAGCCTGTAACCCCTACCACTCCCGATCAACCTGGACTGCTTGGTGGACTTTTTTCAGCAATGTGGTCTGGAGAGACTCCATCAGATGCTCCAAAATCTCTTGAGCAGAAAATTGCCGATTATTATGGATTAACCCAATCGTTTTCTGGCGAGTATCTTTTGTGGATTGGAGAGGTATTCGAGTATCTCAGCAAGTTGGAGATCCAAACCAACAATGAGTCAGTGATCAAGCTGGTCAAGGATTTCAAGTTATGTGCCCATCAGCTTGCTAGGTGCCTTTGAGGATGAGCAGGAAGCTATGCAACATGCAACCAGTGCACCCCAAGACGGTTCACAGTTCGAGTTGGTCAAATCAATCAAAGACATAATGGCCAAACATCAAGAGTCTGTCCAAGAGATATTGAAGAATTTCACAAAGCAGATGAATGATTATCTGCGTGCCTATTCGTATAGTACAATCAAATTCAAGCCTATACTTGGTGACTGGATCGATTTCCACAATGAAATGGATGTCATGGCAGATACATTGCTCGAATAAGTGCGTACAAAACAATATGATACTGATTGATTGAAAAAATCGTTGAAATTCATTTTTTAAACTACATCCAATAAATCATTTATATTTACAAATTTATAGTTGTTGATTACGTATTATGATTATATGTCATGGTTGACTTGTATTGTGGTTTGATGCATCCATTACATTACATTAGATTAGATTATATTGAATTACATTACATCACTTGAGCACAATTTGTTGTATATACATTGTAGTTGGATCCAGTCACTTGACATCACAGCATTGTTCACATACAACCTGGCTGTGATGGTGATTGTCGACCTGATTATCGTGTCAATGTATTTGGATTGATATGTCGGTATATATGTCGAGTATGCACATCCGAATGATCAAGCCATACATTGTATATGCATACAATGTATACAATGTACACCAGTTGTATTGATCAGCATGTGTCAGCTGGCCAATATTGCCAACATGGTTATACACGCACTTGACATGTACATCTGGACAGTGATCATCATACAATCCATACTGTTGCACAAACGGTTAAACTTGTAACTATTGGTTTTCAATCAAGCATCCAGTCATAAATACAAACTCGGGTAGTCCGAGTATCGATCAACAACTGCGATCAATATCAAACTACCATGCACAATCGATTGTAGTCCGCACCAGTTATAGTTGTCACACATGTCACACATGTCATGGTGTATGTTGATATGTTGCATTTGAATACATGCCATGATGGTCAATGTCAACCACACACAACTGGTAGTGCATGACCAATGACGGTATTCAACGACTGCAACAATCGATACCAACCATATCAAGTGTGTTGATATATTGAATCGACACCGGATGCAAGATATCAACAGTGCAATATGATATGCTGCTGCAAGTATATCAATGTCTCGTCATTTTTGAACAAGTCAAACCAATCAGATTGGTCAGATCAGATATCAATACACATGACTATTGTTGGTATTGGTGTTGCGTGTCATGTGTCAATACGACATGTCGAGCAATATCATATCGTCACAATATACACATGCATGTCAGCATCATCAATGTGTACAACTATGCAATATCAAATGGCAATTGTATTGTATTTTATTCAAACAAAAATACAACGAATTCGGCTGAAATCAGTCCAGGTTGGCATTCAAACTAATGGTTCGCGATCATCATCTGTGTGTTGACTCCAGCGTGATCCGATACTACTTTTGATTCTGGAACAGACTTTCTGTAATTTAGATGGAGTACTAGAGGGTGTTTGAGTGTGATGAGCTATAGACGTTTCCTCATATGTAGGCTGATCATCAGAACTTTGTTGTAATGAATCGTGTAATTTCACTAGTAAAAACATGGTCGGATTCTGATAATGAACTCTGCATGCCAGTGTAGAATTTATTGAAGCAGTCCATAGTAATGGGATCTTCTTCAATGTACATCGTGTATAAACTGATCAAGCAAGAAATTTCAGAATCCCAAATAAAGTATTTCTCGAGTCCTTTTTCGGCCAGACGCATATTCTTGCGCCAGTCGGAAAATTCTTTATCGCATTTTCGCTCCTGTTGTTTGAGATCTAAAAGATTTTTACGTGTTTCTTGAAGCTTAGCGACAGTTTCAGCATAGGTTAAACCATTATCTCCTGCCAAATCTCCATCTTTTAGAGAATCGACACGTTTAACCAGCTGTTTTTTCAACTTTTTCTCGACAGAAATCGATTCTGATATCGATTTGCACATTTCCCTTGTTGTTTTGACACCACGTTTCGTTGTTGCGTAATTTTTGATCAACTTCTTGGATTTCTTTGAAAGTGTACCACAATCAACCAATTCTAAATCCAAGTTTACATCAGTAAATGTCAAAATGCTAGACTCGGTACTTGCAGTTGCGCTTGGGGAGGCTGTCAAAGTGCTAGCTTCAGCACTCATGGTCGAACTGGGATCAACTGGACTAGCTGTAGTAACTGAACAGACAGCAAGGATTGACGACAGTAAGGTGATTGATGGTTTCATTATATTGGTTTGGTTGAACAAGTTGTAGATGATTATTATTCAACAGGTCGGTTTGGTGTCGTATTTATATCCATTATTAGATTGATAGTATTAAAAGCATGCTAAATAGCTGCTATAGGATATTGGGTTTATTGTCAGGGTTAGGATAACTTGAAAGGGATATCCCTTTATACAATGACCCGCAATCTCGGTCAAACTGTTTGGTGATACATTTAGATATCGTATAGCCGAATGATCGGATATTTTCCCACGTTTTTCCACTCCAAAGCGGCCAGTAAGCCAAGGTATAGGAAATAAGCACAGGGCCAAATAATACCACATAGCCTATATGTAACTGAGTCAATATTCAATCATTACGTCATCATCAATATTTGATGTAATATTCCGCATTTTTTAAATCACAATTGATTGGCACGATTCAAACATTGACGATTTAGTGATGCTTTACATTCAACTCGACATGATCAGTCATCACTACACATTGTCCAGTAATTCAATCAATCAA